GAAGCCGTTGTCACATCACCTGAAGAGTGATCTTGTGAACTCAAGGACCTTTGTTGTAGTCTTAACCTGCAAGTGTGCACTCCACAGTTCATGGACCTAAGAAACCGCTCTCAATCCAGATGTTTGGTAGCCCAGAGTCTTGAAATCTTGAATCTTGAGTCTTGAATCAAGAAATTTTCTTTATCTACTTATCTTACCCTTATCAGTATAGCAGTTCTTGTGCCAGTGCAGTTCCTCAGCTTTCTTTCTCTCAACTGCACTCAATATCCTGTCGATTGTTTCCGTGTTGATGGTGTCTCTTAATTTTCGTCGCTCTTCAGATGATTCCTTCAATGAATGCAAGCCCTGCTCTGTTGCACTGAACAGGACATCTTTTTTTGACTCCTGGCATATAATGCACTCACCAAACGAAACAGGAGGGGCAGATCGCTTTAAACTCGCCGTTTTTCCATTATTTTAATCATGCAATCTCTCAACACAACCTGCCATGGAGCTCTCCGAGTTACCAGCTCGATTTAGCAGCCAAGCAAGTTTACTGGGACTGGGACTGCAGCACAGGATAAAAAGCTTTACCAATTGAAACTTGTGAATGAAGTTAGATTTCCTTGAATGGAAATGTCTTTTATTCTCAACCAGAACTTAGTAAGGTTTCTCTTTTTTAAGTCCAAGTACCTTAATTTTCATTTTTAATTCAAATTTGATTCATTTGCAAAACCAATATTCTAACACTCATCGCTGAATTATGTTTTCGATCAGAGTCAAAGCTCAAAGCATGGGTTTGTCTGTGTGTTTAAAATTGCCACTTTCATTTTATTGCGTAGTATTAGCCTTTAGATTCTTCAACCATTAAATCACAACCCTAGAGGGCCAAGAAACAAAGTTCATTTGTTAAAAGCTTTACTATATAATAATAAGAAAAACATGTCTATTTCTTGAAGTGGACATATCCTTGCAGTTGCAGTGTGCATAAATGACCTCTGGAGACGAAATGGTTTCGATATAACGTGTAATTAAAGCATCCACCATCAATTTGTGCTTTTTTACCAGTGAAATATTTATAGTAAGCTGATTTAAAAAAATATTTGGATTCAAAACTAACTTCGAAAAATGGAAAACAGTTTTGCCTCGGTTTCATGCTGCGATTTCACAGTTAAGGTTACAGTATACCTTCAGGGATGTCTCACGTGCAAGCAATGTAGCACGTGCAGTTTAAGCTGTAGATACCTAAACCCCTCTATCAAATTAAAGCTTATAGAGCTGGCTATCAAACTATACCAAGAATTCTGGAATAAAATGAATTGTGGAATTTTTCACGACCACTAAATGCGAGCACCCTTTCACCTTTTGAAAGCTACAAGTCAAAGCGAATTTCGTTTTTCGCCAATTCAATTTTTTCCTCGGTTTCAGGGCCCACAGTGCTTAAAAAACGTGTCTCTGTTTTGGCTATTCAATTGCAGTAAAAGGTTACAGAACATTTTTGAAATAGGATTAAAAAAATGTGGAGTGATTGCACAAGAGTCACTCTCGAAGTAAAAGTATTTCGAAATTAACAATTCCCAGACAGTCTTTTGTAGTTCATATGTTAAACTAGCTACTGTCCAAATTTGAGGGCAATTGAACAAATTCCCTTTGAGTTATAACTCTTTAAAGTGTCTGTTTCAAGTGAAAAAACTTATTCGATAAAACAGCGCTAAGAAAAATCTTCTGCTTTGCAAACAAACTCCACCCACAAACGCCTTCAACTGGGTTCTCAGATAACTGAGCCAATCAATGCAGGGAATTGCAAAAGTTTACTACCATTAACCTCCTGGTGAAATTTACGTGCGGATGGCTAAAAAACCCTTGAATTGTGTTTTGCAATGCGCTCAAGGCACTGAAGATGCAGAGATAATTTTTCTGTAGCTCGGTTTTTCTTGAAGCTGGTCTGGCAAAATGGGGAAGACTAAAAAGGATACGAGCGCTAGAGTTGCTGAGCGGAGAAAACAGACAAAAGAAAGCGCGGGGAGCAACTGTGTGTGGTCAACTGTGCATGGATGATTCGTCAATATCAGACTCGTCAGAAGAGTCTCTGTCAACATCCCTGTTATTGCTGTCAAGTTCGAAATTTTTACAGAACCTTTCTTTTCTCTTACCACAAATATTTTGCCCGCCTTATACGATAGCTATAGCTTCATCCACGTGGCGAACTTTCGCTTCTTCACTCATTGATGTATTTTCATTCGTTCTTTGGTGTTTTTGCTTTTTCAAACTGGTCCATGTTTTAAACATGGTCTATGTTTACTTATAACTTAATAGAGTTACACCAAATACCAAAAATGCTGGATAGTCAGAAAACCAATGCTGATCAACTGATTAGTTAATTTGTGACATCCAGGTAATTCCCACAAAAATCATCTTGGTTGATTGCGTACGCACCATAGGGCTGTCAATCAAGAGGTAAACTTTTACTTCTGGTGAAAACATAAAACCGCCATTTCTCCACCAATGTTTAGCCTTTTTCAAAAATTTTTTTCAGAAATTAGAGATTATTCTTCAACCACTACTTTGACCCAAAAATCCAAATTTGAAGAAAGTTGCAGACCCGAAGGTATACTGTAACCTTAAAAACTCAAAATCAGGCCTGGTAAACAATTTTTTTGTGTTCAGCGAATAATTTTCAACTTAGAAAGTGTGTTTACCACCTTTCCTTGAGTTTGCCGACAGAATTTTAAAATAGCAGGCTTTCTTGGAATTTGTCCCAGTCTAGTTTATTACAACGTGAACTCAACAATGGCAACTAATACGTAAAGCAATTGTGTAAAGATTCAGGTTTGTATTAACATCATAACCATATATGTGAAAAATAGTCTTTAAGAGGGACTAAGAAAACCGAGATATGCCTTCGTTTTATGTCCAAAGGTGGGTGTCTAGCCACCCAAACCACCCCTGACAAATGAATTCTAAAAGAACAAATGACTGTAGAAGTTCAAACCAGAAGGGATAATACTTGGCTGTTTCGGTTTTATTTTTGCTTGAAGCCAGGATGTCTCCAAATTTTCTCACTTGCCTTTTAAATAACTCTAAAAACCTCAATCTTCTTCAAATGTATGAAACTTTATCAACTCCCAGCACTTCAATTAAGTGCGCTTAAAACATCATCAACTCCCAGCATCTCAAATGCACTTATTGTAGACCACTTGAGATCTCCTCTGGTATATAGACTTTATACTCATACTGTGAGTACTTTCTAAATGTTCGCAGGGATGACAGTAATGTTGGCTTCTTGGGTTTTGGGCTTTGCGTCAAAATGGTGCTGTGGGAAATGAGTCCTCCCTATACTTAGCCTGTTCCAGGAAGCGTGCGAGTGAGGGAAAAACGAGTGGGAATAAGGCATCTTCGTTCACCTCGGACTATTTGAGAGCCTGGAACTACCATGTACGAAATAAGAGCATGGCAGGGTTTTTGGCCCCGTGACTCAGAGGTCATAGGCAGTTTATTACATTTATGGTTCAATTTATTTAATTTCTGTTCAAATTTATTACATTGTGGTTGGTGGATTTATTACATTTGTGGTTAAAAGTTATTACATTTATGGTCAGTATTACATTTATAGTTAATTCTTATTACACTTATGGTTGGTATTACATTTATAGTTTTTATTACATTTATGGGTGATACAGGGCTCTGCCTTAGCGGTGGGTCTTGTTATGAAAAATATGTACAAGATTTGCAAGTTCAAATTCCCACTCAGCGAATGTTTGCCTGAAAAATCTTAAATTCCTACTCAGTCGGCATTGTAGGAAAGCAATGGTTAGGGCAACTATTGAGCATGCTCTCACTGAAATGGGAGCTTTTGAAGCAAATTTATGGCTAAAATGATGTTTCTTCCACGAGATGTGATTTCAACTTCACATACACCCACTTGAAACAAACACAGACCACATGGTCCTGTGAGATAAGGTCAATTTGCATACAGTGTATGTGACTACGAAGAAGAAGAACAAAAAGAAAGAAGCTCAACCAAAACTTTGACACAGTCTGCCTCAGGCATCCTGCATTATGAAATTAATGGAACAAGTTTTGTTGATTTCAAACTGTATTCTGTTTAATTAATCTCAACAATGTTATTTCCTGCTGATGATCTGCTGGATTCTTTGCTGCAGCCTCTGTATCTTATGTTGCTGAATCAAACTTTTACTGTTCTTGAATCAAGTTTATTCAGTTTCACAAATTCTTCTATTACACCTGGTGATGAGTATCTTGATTTCTTGAACAATACTTCAAGCACCAATATCTGGAGATTGGAGAATTTTATCTGGATGATAATTACAGAGGCAGCCAATGACTAATCAGTGGATAATCAATGGCATCAATGAGCAATCAATGGATCAATGAGTAATTGGTGCTCCGCAAAATGTTTTGTATTCGATTAATCAGCTGATGTCATTGATTCGTTGTCTGGAATAATCAGTATCAAGATGAAATGATTAGTAACATGATGGAACAATAAGTAACAAAATTATATGATCAGTATCAAGACAAGAATTCAGTTAGATCAGTAGGAGTGTTCTGTTTTTAAAGTAGAGGATGTTGTCACTGAAACATTGATAGAAAAGTAGTTTGTAAAGCAGAGAAAACGTACTATGACTAAAATGTGGAAACAGAGGAACACAGTTTAATATACAACAGATGAAGCAATGAGTTTAGCTTTTGGTTATAGAAGAATACAGTTCATAGAGCAGATAAAGAAACGACTAAACATAGAACCATGGAGGGGTATAATTATTGCATAATTCACACACAGTTCTAACTAAATTGTAGAGCTTTAGAGGGGTACAGTTCATGATTCTTTGGATAATAGTTGAGCAATAGAAGAGTTCAACAACTCCTGATTAGTGGAAAAGTTAGATGCATACTATAGTAAATAATAAGTATTTAACAAAGTGCATATTAAATGCTTTTCACTACAGATTCAAGTGACTTTCAGCTTGCTATTTTTTCTATTTTCTACTTCCCAACAGTTTTTAATACACTAGTTGATCATGACGTTTACAAGACAGATGCAGTGGAGTCGTTGCTTTCATTGCTTCTGTTTTTAAGGGTAAGTAAACAATAAGATTGCACATAATTTTATTAGAATACCTCAGACACACACTTTATGTTTAAGTAAACAGAAAGCTGAAGTTGAGTCTTATTATATCTTATGTTGATATATCCACAGACTATATGTGAAAAGTCTTGGTCAGGTAAGTTAATTTGATTTCTTTTATTTACAGTGAAACATTGTATTATATTGAACAAAGGTATTAGTGTTGAGTGTGTTAGAAGGCAATTGAAATATTTAGCTATTTATCAATGTAGAGTTGAAGTTGACTTTTCGAATGTGAGCCTTGCACTGACAGGGCACAAAACTGCCCCTAATACACCAAATCAGGCTATTACCGGAAGTCTCATAAGAGTGAATGTGTATAAAAATTGACATAAATCGCCTATCAATGGTACAAGTCGAAAAATTGATTTCGCTTGTACTTTGTTCGTAGATAGGTCCTAGTAAGAATAGAAACGGACCATAGTTAGTTTCTGCTAATACAGCCTTCTTTGGTAGAAATATGCCAAAAACGATTTCGCCCTGATTGGGCTCAAAATCTACTTCCGGTTTTGCTGAATTTTCCGAATATTTGATTGCTTCGCGCTCCCCAGAACATCTACTTGAGAATCTTTCAATGGATTTTATATTCAGTTCAGGTCTTTGTGGTATGACTGAGTGAAAAATAAAATAAATCAAAGTCAGTTTTGAACCTGAAAAGAGATCAAACTGACATGCAAAATTTTACAATGTGTTGCAAGGGAATTATTGCAAAAAACATTGCCATATTTTTCTATGGGCTATAACTTGAAATACCATAAAAACACTTTCTACGGATTAAATATACACCCACCTGTTAGGATATCAAAAAATATCTCTGGGCAAATGGTTTCAAGTCGCCCGCCTTGGCCTGTGTTTCTCATAGATTTTGCCCAAAATCCGCTGTTAGAATGTAAACAATTGTGTGACACGGTAACCACTCTTGATTAAATATTCGTTTCCAACAATCGGATGAAAGCAATTTTTGAAATGTTGTGTGGATAAAATAATGGAAAATGTTTTTTTGTTTAAGTTAGGATATATATAGTTTTTCATTTGCATTGCAACACCCACTACATCCCCGGTAAAGAACGTGACTACAGTGCTCCGGGAAACGATTTTAACACTTGTTTATTTTATTAATTTCACTGATAACTTACAATTCAGTGGCAGTTTTAGAGATACACTTAACCAATCCTCTATGGTTTATGGCAATTGAATCATTGACTGACAAATAAAGTCAAGTGGAAATACCATAAATTC